AAAAAAAAAAGGTGGGGACCAGGTTTGCTGGTCCGATAGAGCCTGGCAGAACCACTGAGACCATGGCCCCCAGCTGCCCTTCAGGTCTGGAATTGAACCCACACCTGTGGCTTCCAGCCAAACAAAATACAGGCATATCAACTGAACATTTACCTGAGGTAGACACACTCCTTGGAGAGAACAATCATGGGAGAAAGAAGGGCTGCTTATGCACAGGGAGACAGCTCAGGGGGCAGGAGTCCATGGAGGGATGGACACTGGGAAGTGGTACTAAGGGGAGGAAGTGGGAGGGGAGCTGTTGCATTGTGGTAAACTGTGGTCAATGACTTGAGACAAAGTAAATCTGAACTGCTGTATAGAAAGTGAATTTGCTCTGTAAATCTTCACTCAAATCACAATAAATAAAATAAAATAAAAATGTCCTTATTTATCGTTGCTATCATCGAGGTATATTTTAGGGGGAAATGACATAATGTCTAGGATTTGCTTTAAGATATAAAAAGGAGGAGTAGGGGCAGTGGGAACTATACGGAAACAATGGGCCTACAAACTGCATCCACACGCGCTAAGCCAATAACCCCAGAGCAAACAAGAGAAAGGCCCACCACAAGGCGCCCCTCCTCCTCCTTCAGCCGCCGCAGGGCCTGCTGTCGCGCCTGGCTGGCGGTGATCTGAGCATTGAGCCCCAGGCGCATGCTCTCCACCCGCTCTCTCCGCCTCCTGGCCTCTAGGGCTTCCCGCTGCTCCTTAGCTAAGCGGTCTTCCTCCCAGAGCCTGGCGAACATCTGCTCTTCCACCAGCTTCTGCCGCTTCCTCTCCTCGTTAAATGCCACCTGGGCCTTCCGCTCCTCACACACCTTCTTCTGGTGGATACGTATCAATTCACTGCGGAGCTCCTCGCAGCCTTCCCTGGAAGTGGAAGTGAAATTAATCGTGAGGGAAACAATGGCAAACTGTAGCCTTCCGTGAGACACTGCTCTGCACAGTCACACCCTGAAATGAGAAAAATGAAGGGCCTAGATGGTGCACCATCTGACCAGGGGAAATATCTTAGGGGGCGGACTCCATGACGTCACAGGCAAGACACAGGCAAGGGGGCAACGGAATCCTAGCTTTGACGTTTCCTGTGTGAGCTTGGATCGAAATCTCAACCTATCTAAGGCTGTTTCCTCATCTGTAAAACAACAGCTTTTCAAGGTTCTCCTAGGAATCTGAGATAATGTATGCAAATATCTGATAGATAATAAACCCACTGCCACCCAGTGGATTTTGATTCATGTGACCCTACAGGACAGAGGACTGCCTCATAGGGTTCCCAAGCCTGTAAATCCTTACAGAAGCAGATACCTCATCTTTCTCCCAACTAGCAGCTGGTGGGTTGGAATTGCTGACCTTTCAGTTCACAGCCAAGTGTTTTAACTACTGTGCCAGCAGGGCTCCTTTGGTAGACAACAGAAGTTCAATAAATGGTTAACTATTATTATTACTAAGGAGCTCTGGTGGCACAGTGGTTACCGCATTTGGCGGCAGTTGAAACCCACCAGTCGCTCTGTGGTAGAAAGATGAGGCAGTCAGTCAGCTTCCACAAATATTTACAGCCTTGGAAACCCTATGAGGCAGTTCTACTCTGTCCTAAAGCGTTGCTGTGAATCAGAATCGACTCGATGGCAGGGGATTTGGTTTTGGTTTTATTTCTAATCAGGCAGATCTGCTGCAAAAGACCTCTTTAAAGTGTTAGAAAGCAAAGATGTCACTTTGAGAGCTATAGTGCACCTGACTTAAGCCATGGTATTTTCAGTACCTCCATGCATGCAAAAGCTGGACAATGAATAAGGAAGACTGAAGAAGTGATGCCTTTGAATTATGATGTTGGTGAAGAATACTGAGTATACCATGGACTGCCAGAAGAATGAACAAATCTGTCCTAGAAGAAATGCAGCCAGGACCTCCTTAAAACGAGGATGATGAGACCGTCCCACATACTTTGGACGTGTTATCAGAAGGGACCAGTCCTTGGAGAAGGGAATCATGCTTGGTAGAGGGTCAATGAAAAAGAGGCTTCCAATCAAACAATTTACAGGCCTATGAGGTGAAAAATTACACCAGTGAGGTGCACTCCTTAGAGCAATCAACCATGGGAGATCAGAAGGGCAGCATTTGCACAGGGAGAAAACTCAGAAGGCAGGAATTCACAGGGAAGAAAGACACAGGGAAAGGTAACCACAGGGAAGAAGTAGGAAGACAGCTGTTGCATTGTGGAGACTGCAATCAATGTCACAAAACGTGTTTTAACTATTGAATGGAAAACAAGTTTATTCTGTAAACTTTCACCCAAATCACAACTTAAAAATAAAAGAGGAAGACCCTGGATGAGATGGATTTGCATATTTGCAATGATGGGCTCAGACATAGCAATGATTGTAAGGATGGCACAGGACCAGGCAGTGTCTCATTCTGTTGTAATGGAGGTCAATGAACCAGAACTGATTTGAAGACACCTAACAACAACAATAACATTATTACTAAGGAGCCCTGGTGGTGCAGTGGTTAAAGTGCTAACCAAAAGGTTGGGAGTTCAAACATACCAGCGGCTCTGCAGGAGAATGATGTGGCAGTCTTCTTCGGTAAAGATTTACAGCCCTGGAAACCCTATGGGGCAATTCTACTCTATAGGCAATTCTACTCCTATAGGGTCGCTGTGAGTCGGAATCAACTCAAGGGCTGTGGGTTTTGGTTTTTCCACATCGAAGGAAAAATCCAAGGTTACCTTGCTGAACTGGCACTGAATGAAAGTTCTCATATCAAGTATTTCTTCAGACCAGTTGGTTTTCAAACTTTGTTGATTATAAAAGCCTCTCTGTAAAAAAATTCTAAGTGCTCGCAAACATTATTATCATTTATGAAATGCATGCGATTACTCTATCGTATCAATTATGAAATATTACAAAAATAAAAATTAAAAAGATGAGATAAAAAAATTCTTTTCCTAGAATGTTTGTTTCATAAATGGTGCTGGCGAAACTGGATATCCTTTTGCAGAAAAATGAAACAAGATCTGTACGTCCCACTATACACAAAAACTAACTCCAGATGGATCAAAGACTTAAACGTGAAACCTAAAACTATAGAGTTCCTCAAGGAAAACCTAGGGGCAAATTTAGGGGCCCTAATATGACATAAATAGATTATCAAACATAACCCAAAATGCACAAACAGCAGAAGAGAAACTAGATGAATGGGACCTTCTAAAAATTAATTTTTTATGTGCTTCCAAAGTCTTCTCCAAAAGAGTCAAAAGAGAACCTACAGATTGGGAAAACATATTTGACAATGACATATCTGACAAGGGACTTATCTCTAGAATTTATAGAAAACTCCAACACCTCAATAACAAAAAACAAATAATCCAATTAAAAAATGGGCAGAAGACATGAATAGACACTTCACCAAGGAGGATATTCAGGTGGCTAACAAACATATGAAGAAATGCTCACCATCATTAGTTATTGGAGAGATGCAAATCAAAGCAACAATGAGATACCATCTTGCCCCAGCTCTAGTAGCAAAGTTCAACAAGACAGAAAATAACAAATGCTGGTGAGGATGTGGACAGATTGGGACTCTAATACACTCACTGCTGGTGGGACTGTGAAATGGTACAACCACTGTGGAAAGCAGTATGGCAATTTCTTCAAAAGCTGGAATTAGAAATACCATTTGACCCAGCCATTCCATTACTAGGTATATATCCTAAAGAAGTGAGAGCCAGGACAAGGACAGATGCACACCCATGTTCATTTCAGCCCTATTTACAATAGCCAAAAGATGGAAACAACCTAGATATCCATCAAATGAGGAATGGATAACCAAACTATGGTACACACACACACAATGGAATACTATGCAACCCTAAAGAATAACCTAGTATCTGCAAAACACCGCATAACATGGATGAACTTGGAGGACCTTATGCTGAGTGAAATAAGTCAATCACAGAAGGACAATATTGTATTAGTCCATTATTGTAAAAGTCAAGGAAAGGTTTATCTATGAAAGGAAATTTTCTTTGTTGGTTACCAAGGGTGGGAGGGGAGGGGCTGGGAACACTGTTAGATAGGTAGAGATAAGTATTTATTTTGGTGAAGAGAAGGGCAATGTACCAAATGTGAGTGATCAACACTGTGGCATGTGAGGATGAGGAAGACATACAGAGGTACATGGGAGGTACAGACAACAAAGATTAACCCTTTTGCACATAACAGTACTGTTTTGTCAGTGAAGGCAAACATGGGTATACAGGTGGATAGATGGGTAACAGGCTGAATTATTAGGTATGTCTATGCAGCGGGGGGGAGCTCTGGTAGCATAGTGGCTAAGGCACTTGACTGCTAACCAGAAGGCTGGTGGTTCAAGCCCACCAGCCACTCCTCGGAAGGAAGGTTGGGCAATCCTACTTCCGTAGTGATACTGCCTCGGAAACCCAAGGAGGGGTCGCTATGAGTCGGGGCCGACTCGAGGGCAAATAACAACAACAACAACAATGCAGTGGGGAGTGTACCCAAGACCACGTATAGGGTTGGCAAACAATGGTTCTACAAGTATATTTGTATGTACTGTAAGAATTCCCAGGTACAATATAGTAGAGCTGACAAGGGCCAAGGTTGTAGTCACTTCTTGGTCACAGCCAGCTACCCAGAGGGACTGACTAGTTGAACCTGCGGGCTTGGGACCATAGTCGCAGGGGACATCAAGCTCAATTGGCATAACATACTACACAAAACATTGTTCCACCTCCTACTTTGGCAAGTAGCGACTGGAATCTTAAAAGCTTGCAAACAGCCATCTAGATACTACGGTGGGTCTCTCCTCACCCATAGCAAAGAAGACTGAAGAAAACCAAAGATTCATGGAAACAATTAGTCCTAGCAATGGGTACACCATGAGATCCCCAGCTTATACAACTATGAGACCAGAAGAACTAGATGATGCCCAGCTACCACTGTCAAACACTCAGAGGGGGATCTATTTAGGAGATCCTGGATAGAGAGGGAGAACAATGTGCAACAAAACTCCAAATCATTTGGGGGAAAAAAAGGGGGGGGGACCAGGTTTGCTGGTTTGATGGAGCCTGGTGGAACCACTGAGACAATGGCTCCTAGCTGCCCTTCAGGTCTGGAACTGAACCCACACCTGTGGCTTCCAGCCAAAGAAAAGACAGGCATATGAGTTGAACATTTACCTGAGGTAGATACATTCCTTGGAGAGAACAATCATGGGAGAAAGAAGGGCTGTTTATGCTCAGGGAGACAGTTCAGGGGGCAGGAGTGCATGGAGGGATGGACACAGGGAAGAGGTAACTATTGGGAGGAAGTGGGAGGGGAACTGTTGCATTGTGGTAAATTGTAGTCAATGTCATGAGATAAAGTGTATGTGAACTGCTGTATGGAAAGTGAATTTGCTCTGTAAACTTTCACCCAAATCACAATTCAAATATATATATATATACACACACACACACATATATATTCTCTTCCTACTGCTCCCATAAACATTTCAAGAAAAACCAAACTCACTGCCGTCAAGTTGATCCCAACTCATAGCAACCCCTCCTTGGGTTTCCTAGGCAGTATCTCTATGGAAATAGATTGCCCAATCTTCCTCCTGCAGAGTGGCTGGTGGGTTTGAACTGCCAGCCTTTTGGTTAGCAGTAAATGCCTTAGGCACTGTGCTACCAAAACCCATAAACATTACAACCTAGAAAACTCTATGGGGTAGTTCTACTCTGTCACATGGGGTTGCAATGAGTTAAAATACGCTCAACAGCACCTAACAATTTTCTTCCTATACTCTAAGGATTCCCTTATTCACTCAACATTGAGAACTCCCAATTACAAATGCTCGCTTTTACC